TGTAAATCCTTAAATATATTTGTATATTTAAAAATTGGGTCACAATATATTTGTGGCCCAGAACTCCATGACTTCTTCCAATGTGGCCCAGAGAAACAAAAAGGTTGGACACCCCTGTTCTAAGCTATGATCATATTGAAAGCCTCTTGGATACATATTTAATTCTGACATTAATATTTATGTTGATAATATTCATTATGAAAATCATATACAGCAAAACAATTTAAACAGTTCTTAACATTTTCTGTTAATTGTAAGTGATTGGTTAAGTATTTAGACTGTCATCTAGGATTATTTGGGAGTGTGCAAAAATTTACTTGTTAAGTGCTGATATACAACCCTTGCATAAAACAAGACCGTACTGTATATACACCTCATCATTGCATAGTTTTAATTTTAGATAAATGTTTATTAAATGTCCTGTATTGTTACATATGCTTGTTATAAAATTTTTATTATTACTTTTCTAAAAACATAACAACAGTAATTAAAAATTTGTATAAATATAAATTCAGGAGTATTTTAAATAATGATAATTTATATATTCACAAGGATTTGAAATTTGAACGGAAACGTATGGACAAATGTAATATAATTATCTGCACACCTGGAAGATTGCTTCAGCATATGGATGAGAATCCTCTGTTTGATTGTACACATTTAAAAATGTTGGGTAAGTTAATATTATTTCATTTATTCAATTTAATTTATTTTGTTAAGTCTATTTATATATGTTTATTTAAATAACTACATCTAATTTTACATATTTATTAAAGATGATAAATTTTAAATATTTTTTAATAATTAAATGCAAAAACAAGTTTACATCTTTAAATTTACAATAAAAAAATATCGTTCAGTTGCATCATATTTCTTGAAAGTATCTAGATTAATTTCATCTTAACATTTGAAGAAATTAATATTGAAACATAAAATATATGAACATAAATTTTATATTTTATCATCAAGGATCCAAGCAAATTTTTGTAGGATCTGTGGGATTTGAAATATCTATTATCTTGTGATACAGTATGCTTGTTCCTAAAAATGACAGTATCATGGAAGTTTTATCAATAAAAATAACAAGAATGCTCAAAATTTGTACAGTCTTCAAGATTTTCCTCAATACTTAAAACTTTTCTTTTGCTTACTATTAGGATGTTTATCCATGTTTGGAATATTGTATTTAGTACTTTTATTAAGAAAAGAATACAAACTTAGGAAAACTGCATGATAAATATCATAAGGCAATGCATATGAGTACAATGGGACAAGAGAGATGAAAATGTTTGTGTTTTGTGTATCCTATCATTTATATTCAGTTGAGCAGAGTTTTCCATGTTCATTTGGTATTACTTGGTAAAAAATCTCATACCAGTTATATGATTTTGTTTTTCTTTCCCTATCCTCTCTTATTAATTTTATTCTTCCACAAGTCATACATGCATACACCCACAAGTCACTTATTTTGCTACAATTCAAGACTAGAGATCAGAGAGGAACTTTCTGTATATTCAACATTTATTGCTGATATAATATAATTTTGTAGAAATAAAAATTGTGAAAAAGTGGAAAATAATTTGAAATATTTTATTGCATAGCAAATAAATATTATAATTACAAAACAGTGATTTTTCTTTGTTACAAATATAAAAATATACATTGTAGTAATAATCTGTTTCAACACATATTAGAGAAAAATGTCAAATAAGTAAGATTCAAATCCACAACATACAGGACAGAAGTCAAACCTTTATTCACTTAGGTATGCAGCTGTAAACTCATTTTTCTTGTAAATGCTCAATGTATAATGTTAGAGGTAAGAAGACAAATCAATTTATTTAATATGTTACAAACTTTTTTAAAGTTTTAATAATTGGCAGTCACTGAATCAAAATAAAGTAAAAAATTTATTTTTTGAATAAAGAAATAAATTATTGTAGCTTTTATGTTTTATTATGAATTTTTGTTACTTTAATCTGATTGTTAATCATAGTTTTTTTCAGTCATTAATTAAAGTAATTAACATTTAATGAGTATTTTAATAATAAATTCTTAATTACAGTTTTTACTTAATAATAGTTTCATATGAAATAAAATTCAAGATAAAATTTTCATTTATAAATTTTCTCAGTAAATAATTATAATTTTTTAATGATCGGTTGCATTGTACACAACTGGACCATAATTATATCTATTGCTAATTTTTAACTAATTTTATCAGTTTTTTAAAAAAATTTGTCTAAACTAGACTTTACATTGATTAGATTTATGTAAAATTAATGAAGAAATGTCAAAATTAATAAAAAATTATCAACGAAAAACCATTCAACAAGGGCCATACAAATTATTTAAAAATTGATGAGAAGAGAATATTTATTTCAAAACAAATAATTTTAGAAAATAAAACTTGTTTGTTATTGACTGTTAAAATATTAAATTATTTGAATGTTTAGTACAATAAATAAACATTTTACTCTTTGTAAGAACTTTAGTGATTATATAATTTAAATTTAAAGACATCTGGAAAAACAATGCTTACTTTAATAATAAATATTTAACTAAATGTAATTTCTAAATTATATATTCTGTATTTGTTTATTTTATTTATTTACAACCACAAAGCAATGCTATATAGCATGTGATGACTATTTCCCAATGAAACAAGTAGTTTGCCTCATAACAATAGTAACAAAATACACCAAAACAATAAAATACATATACATAATTAAAAATTCAAGAACAAGATATAAAATTACAAAATCAAGATATACAAAAGTTGATGAACTGCAAATAAACATGATGGTGAAACTACAGCTTGCGAACCACATATGGTTCTTTTAGATCCTAGCTCCTGTATATTTAATTAATAATATATTTAATTATTAATATAATTAATACAGGAATAGAGAATACAGATTTCAAATTTCTGATGGGCAATATATGACTCCTGTCCTGATAAAAGTTTGGCCAGCCCTGGCATAAAATATAAAAATAGTAAAAATTAATTATATTGTATTGTATTTGTATATTGTATTGTAAATTTTAATTATAATTATAATTCTACATAAAAACTATAAGATAATATAGTTTTTATGTAGAAATAATAAAAGAATTACAATAATTGTAAAGTATTTTTTTTATGCCTAGATTTAAAAAGCTTAAAATCAGCAAATAAAAATGACTTCATATTTATATATTTACATATTTTAAAATGTTTAGTTTTAGATGAAGCGGATAGAATCCTTGATTTAGGTTTCCAAACGACTATTAATGCAATTATTGAAAATCTTCCTATAGTGAGGCAGACACTTTTATTTTCAGCAACTCAAACAAAGTATGAATCGATTTAAACAAATTTATTATGAAATTATGATATACTTTTAAATTTTCTTAAATTTTTTTTTTATATATTAAAGATCAGTAAAAGATCTGGCTAGATTAAGTCTTCAG